TGAGATTTTTATATGGAAATATGTCTAGTATGTATCGGGTCTAGTAATAGTTAATGTCGTTTTTAAACATTCGTTTAAAATCTTGCTTGGCGTTGACTTGTATTGACATAACCTTCAAACACGTGGTATCTACAGAACGTGTGAAGTGCAATTAACAAGTTTTGCTTGAAAAAGTTTGTGTTTGGTTTGGTTTTTGTTGCAAAACTAGGGCTAAGAAGATGGCGGATGAAGAGCATATTCGGCACTGCATGCTTTACGAGTTCCAATTAGGAAGAAAAGCAAGTGAGGCTGCAAAAAACAGCTGTAGTGCTCTTGGTCAAGATGCAGTTAGCGCCAGAAAATGCCAGCGTTGGTTTGAGAAATTTCGCGAGGGAAATTTTTCGTTAGATGACAAGAGTGGTCGAGGCCGTGTGTCCAATTTTGATCAAGAAGCTCTTCAAGCTCTTTTGGTGCAAAATCCTCAAATTACCCAACAAGAGCTTGCGACAACTTTAAATTGTTCACAAAAAACAATTTCCAATCTATTGCGTGCACTTGGCAAAGTCCAAAAGTTTGGAAAATGGGTTCTTCATGAGTTGACCGACAACAACCGTAATCATAGAGTAACAATTTGCAGTTCGCTCCTCTCTCGTCAAAACCGTTTGCCGTTTTTAGAGCAAATTGTTACCGGAGATGAAAAATGGGTGCTGTATGTTAATTTGAAAAGGCGGCCTCAATGGTTGGACAAAAACGAGGCTCCGCAGCCCACGCCAAAACCTGAATTGCATGCGAAAAAAGTGATGTTGTGTGTTTGGTGGAATTTTAAAGGAATTCTTCATTATGAACTTTTACCATCTAACCAAACCATTGCAAGTGCAGTGTATAGTGCCCAATTGGAAAGGTTAGCCCAAGCTTTAAGAGAAAAAGAACCCGCGCTGATTAATCGGAAGGGCGTAATTCTTCACCACGATAACGCACGACCGCATACTGCAAGAATCACTGCTGAAAAACTGCGCCAGTTGGAATGGGAAGTTCTCCCTCAACCTGCATATTCTCCTGATATTGCCCCTTCCGATTACCATTTGTTTCGTTCTTTGCAAAACTTTCTTCTTGGAAAAAAATTTAATAATGAAGAATGCCTCAAAAATGCATTGACCGAATTTTTTGCATCAAAATCACAAGAATTTTACAACAGAGGGATTAAAATGCTTCCTGAGCGTTGGGCACAAGTAGTAGAAAACAACGGCAACTATATTGTTGATTAAATTTTGTTGTATTGTTTAAATAAATTCGATTTTAAAAAAAGGTATTAGAAAACGACATTAATTATTACTAGACCTAATATCACATGCATTTCTGCCTTTTAATAAAGGATATATTTTATAATTATTCTTATCCTGAAAACTTAGAATCATAGTTATAAATATTAATCACTGCAGTGAACTGATGCCTTCAGGAGAAACTTTGGGGTTATTTGTTCTACTTTAATTTCTTTTAGATAGACCACAATGCTTTGTAAGCATTTGGGTCTGTTCTTTTTGGCTTTTCTCTTTTCTCCCTGTGTCTTTTTGCTTCTAGCACTGTGTTTTATATTTTTCCCCCCTCCTTCTTCCTTTTTCTTATCCTCACTCTTGGCCCAGCTGATTTTTTGCTTCTCTTCTGCTATGGACCAGAGGGTCAGATAATCATATAGCTTAGTGGCAACCCAATTCTGCTGGCTCCTAATTTTGTTCTCTTTTCATTATACTACACTGAAGATATATGTTAAATCAACACTGCTTTAAGGTAAAGAGTAAAGAGGTTTTTATAGACTCTAAAATGCACAGCCTTAGTGATTCTGTTACTGTTGTTTTAACTATTGGGCAGCCCTGGTGTGATTTCTGTTTAATTCATTGAGATTTCTCATATTCATATATACATAAAGAATTAAGTGAGTCAACAGATATTCATTGTGTCTGGTGGACCCAGGTTTATGGTGAGCACAGCCCACTGCATAGATTTAATTGATTGCATAATACAGTTGATATAACATGCAAGATTACAAATACCTTAATAATTACTTAAATTTGGCTTGGCCAGTGTAGCTCAGTGGTTGAGCATCCACCTATGAATCAGAAGGTGACAGTTAGATTCCTGGTCAGGGCACATGCCTGGATTGTGGGCTCAATTCCCATCCCAGTGTGGGGTGTGAAGGAGGCAGCCAATTGATGGTTCTCCCTCATCATTGATGTTTCTATCTATCTTTCCCTCTCCCTTCCCCTCTTAAATCAGTAAAAAGATGAATTTTTAAATAATAATTTTAAAACTATTACATTTGATTTCTCATTTAAGAAGGTAGTTTTATTTAAGACCATCAGAATGGTTTGCAGAGGGTATAATTTAACTTTAAACATGGGGAGCAAATAAAACACTCTTAGGCCATGTGGCACACAACTTGTCAAATAGCGATGTGCCAGTGAGAGTCAGGCTTTGGCAGCCAGATCCACAGGTGGCACATTAAAGCTTTGCATATTTTCTGTGGAGCTTATCTCTGAGAGAATGTGGCCATTGCTCTTTCAAATTCAGAAGAGACAATTAACATTTTGAATGCTTGCACCTGCCCAAGGGTGTGTAATGCTTTTGGAGAATCACATCTTCATTGTGTAACAAAGAGGTTTAGTGAGAAACTGTTTTCAGGAAAGTAGCCTTGGTGACTGCCAGCTCTTTCCATTGGATTTAACCACCTGATATAACCCTCACAACTATTAAAATTACATTGGAAAAGGCTTACTAGTACAGGAGAATTAATGTATTTTTTTAAAAGAACATTCTATAACTAGTAGTACATGAAATTTGTAAATGGATAGGGTCCCTAGGTCTGGCCGGTGATTAGGGCTAATCAGGGCCTTTTAGCTACTGGACAGGGCCTTCCTTCTGGCTGCTGTCTGGGGCCTTCCTTCCCGCAGCTGCTGGCCAGGGCCTTCCTTTGTTCTGTGCCAACTCCTAGTGGTCAGTGCACGTCATAGCAAGTGATCAAACTCTCAGTCTCTCCTGGTTGAACTCCCGAGGGGACACTTCGCATATTACTCACACACACACACACACACACACACACACACACACACACACACTAGATGCCCAATGCATGAAAATTCATGCCCTGGGGAGGGGAGGGGTGAGTCTCTCAGCCCTGCCTGCCCCCTCTCACAACCTGAGAGCTCTCAGGGGTGGGAGGTGACCTGGAGATAGGGGAAAGTGATGCCCCATCACACCTCTGTTGCTACCACTGCCAGTAGCGCAAGCCTTAGACTGCCCTGCTTACCTGAGCCTTGGGCAGCTGGGAAGCCACCATCCAAGATTTGCTTGTGCCCTGGGCGGCTGGGGGTCTGGGGGTGGGTCCAGTTGCACTGTGCGCCTGCTGTCCCTCTACCTCCAGCTGGGCTGAAAGGACTGTGGGACTCCAGCAGGGCTGAGGGGACTGGGCACCACCATCCTGTGGCTATAGGCACTGCCATCTTCGTGATGGTGGCATGGTCAATTTGCATATTCTCTCTTTACTAGATAGGATATAGATAGTACAATAATATATTTTTGTTGAAAATATTATCTACATACACAGTTGGAAGTAATGTGCATGAAAAATTAACAGTGCTTATCTCAAGGAGATAACATTGTAAATAATATATCTGCTGTGTTTTGTTTTTTAGATTTTCATAGTGGACTTGGATATTTTCTTGTCAGAAATGTTATTTAAAAGTATTTTTAACATCTTTCTATTTTTCCTTTAAATATAAAGATAACTTTTCCCCTAACACTCCTTTTTATGCAGGGAAGAGCAAAGAGAATACACTAATTTGTGATTTATAAGACTTATAGTTAACTTTCATTTAATTCATTCAGTAAATACTTGTTGAGTGTCTACGTTGTACCCAGACAGCATTTTGTGCAGTAAACAAAGCCCCTGAGAGGAGACAGACAATAAACAGATATATGTGTCTTGTGGTAATCAGTGCTCAATGCCATGTAGATAAAAAATAAGATAATTGAATATTAGGGAGAGAGAGATTATTCAGCAGGAATGTTATCTGAAGGAACTCTGGTGCTAAGTTCCTTCAGTGGTAAAAAGGGTTAGATGAGAGTATAATGAAATCCTTTTCTCTCTAACATTGTGATTTTTATGACTTTAGAAATACAGTTGTCTACCTAAGTGATTATGTCACCCAGATGCAGAAATGAGTCAGTTTTACACATTGAGATAAAAGAAATGTGTTCCATGAAATGAGTACTTAATTAATAGCAAGAATTAAAAAAAAAAAAATCTGTGATGTTTCAGCAACTGTTGTTAATAACGAAAATCACAAATGAAGATAGCAGAGCCTTAAGTGTTTACTAAAAATGATAAATAGCACAAAAGAAAATATGGCCTGGCCAGTGTGACTCAGTGGTAGAGTGTCAACTTATGAATCAGCCATCAATGACTCTCATCACTGATGTTTCCATCTTTCTCTTCCTCTCCTTTCCTCTCTGAAGTCAATAAAAATATATTTTAAAAAAGAAAATATGTAGCATAAAATTCCTATGCAAATACTAACCTTTCTAAGATTGGTGCTTATGTATAAACACATGAAAACCCTGGAAAACATGAATGTGATTTTAGTTTTGTTTTTCCAAAAGATTTGTATTTTCACATTTTTTACATGTTCATGTAGTCTGGTGATGTGAAATATTGAAGAAATACAGAACATGAAAGATGTAGATATTCTTTGGGTTTTGTGGAAGAAACCAATGGGCATCATTGTAGAATATTAACTTTTTAAAATGCATTGTCTTTCTCATCTGCTATTTATAGCATTGTTTACAATTGAATGGCATCTTGTATAAAATTTGCAGAACATAACTTCTTTTTTGTCATAGTATTGCCTAAAATTGGGGCAATCAAAACTATTCTTTCCTCAAATAGGAACGTTTTAGGTGGCATTTATCTTCTGTCATATTCCAGAAATTATTCCTGTGATGCTTCATACCATCTTTCCTTGTTTCAGATGTCCTCTGGCACCTGCAGGCCTGATGTTTCAGAATCCCCTGAATTGCGTCAGAAGTCACCATTATTTCAGTTTGCTGAGGTAATATATTGAAATTTATACTTAATAAGGAAATTGTAAAATGAGCTTAAATCTGAGCTGATGAAAATAACTTAGAGAAATGAAGAACTTTGCTTAGTTCAGTGACTATAAGTGGAAAAATTTTTGAAAGATATGTTGGAACTCCAGAATCTCTTAATTAAGGAATAATTATATGTTTATGAAAGCTTATTATTAAGTCCTGAATATTATTATACTTAAGCCTTATCAATAAATTTTATTCATGGATAGTAAAATTAAGAATATAATTGAGCCCTGGTCAGTGTGGCTCAATTGGCTGGAGCATCATTCCCGGCACTGAAAGGTCTTGGGTTCAATTCCCAATCCAGGCACATTCCCAGGTTGTAAGTTTGGTCCCTGGTTGGGATGCGTGCAGAAGGCAGGCAATTGGTATTTCTCTCTCTCTCTATTTCTAGATCGCTACTGCTCCCTTTCCATCTCTCTCAAAAATCAATTTTTAAAAAAAAATAATATAATTGAATTACTATTAGTCACTAATCAGGTGTTAAATTTGAAGACAGAAACAACTTATGGTTGTTCATTGACTATGCATTCCTTTTTTAAAGTTCAATTTTTTTAAATTGAAGTTTGTGAAGTCTTACTGTCTTTTGTCAAACATGTTAAGCTCAATATATCTTTAACATTGGTTGAAAGAGATGTAGTACAAAAGCACATTTTCCTTGAGTGTAAAGGTCAAGACTACTTCCCAAAATAACTTTACCCCAGAACTCAATATAAAGCTTTCACTAATTAATTTTTCCCCTGAACTTTAAAGCACGTCATCTTCCTTTGATCACTAAAATGGTCTTTCACTCAACCTTTCTAACATATGCCTATTGCATAACCGTTTTATACAAGGATAGCATATTTTAAGTTTCAGATTTATTTTTCCCCTAATGTTCTTTCCTAGTGGTTCTCAACATTTTCATTAGAAAACTGCTTTTAACAGTGGTATATTGTATTAGGGCATTCCTTTTAAGATATTGTTTATAATGTGACTAATTGCCCTGTAGATAGCACAGGAATGTTATAACATAAATTTGCTGACATGATACTCCTTATCTGTCACTTTCCTTTCTGCCTTTTGTGGAATGCACCATGAATTCTAGTTGTTTTGCACATTGTTTTCTAAGTATTAATGTAACAGGGGATTCACCCTGTTCTCCAGTAGTTATATCCATGTGAAATAGTGTTGGCCCCCACTTTGAAAGCAGAGATGCTTAACCATTGATCTCTGAACCCCTAGGAATCTAATGAAATCTCTAAAATGTTGTATGAAATTTGGTTTTGTGGACATATGTACATGTTTGTGGGTTCTACAGCACATGGAAGATTCCAAAGAGATTTCCTGATTTCTTTGATAGAAAGAGTCCCTGATGTAATATTTCTTCAGGAGCTCCTTACTCGTGTCATTAATGAAATGTCTCCTTTATCCCAATATTAATGTGCAAAACATCCGTTTGTTGAGAGAGAAACTTGTGAAATGCTTTTCAAAAGTCTAGATGGTTTATACTGGTTCTATTTTGTCCACTGTCTGATTTAAGCCTTGAGGAAAGACATTGTCTTTACATAAACTGTTTGTCTTCTCAAACTTTTATAGACGGTTGGTAGGAATGAAAAGTGACATCTGAAGTAAGACCTACTTGGTGTATAGTTCTCAGGACGTCAGGAAAATCCTTGTGGATTCCTATTTGCAGTCTGTCATGACTTGCACTGACAGGTTTCATGGTTAGACCAAGAGGCCCTCACATGCCTTCAGTGTCTTCAGAGCACTTGGTTAAAACTACCCACTTATGATAGTTTGTTTATATCTAGTTTGTTAAATAGGATTTGCTTTTACTTATATTTATTCTAAAAATGTGTAGATGACTGATTGGAATTAATATTTTCCTAATGGCTTCATCAATGAATAAAGCCAATGATTCCACCACTTTCTCTACTATTTCTTATCCCTAAATATCGCTTTGATACAATGTCACCAAAACTGGTTTCATTGTTTTTCTAGCAAACATAATTTAATTGAGATTAAAATTGATTTTTGTGGTTGAAGAGTTATGATTAAGGTGCATTTTTTGCTTAGTAAGTATCTTTCGATGGAGTTGATGAGCACAGTTAATTGATGGAAAATATTTTTATTGGCCTGGGAATGGGCTGACTTTATATTGTCCAAGCTTTCTGTTCTTGTGACTCACTTTCACCCTATATTGTAGCTGGACAGAAGTTTGTGCATTTTGGAACCAAAATTAATAATTGACCTTGCTCTCAAAAAATCCTCCGAAAATTTTCCGCATGGCCCGCAGTGCAAACTAATGAGGCTGCCACAATTAGGGCCAAGTGGAAACAAAAGGTCTGTTAGTTAAACTAAATGTGGTGTGGCAGAACCCTCTGACACTGTCAGGCAGCTGATGTGAGTGAGTGAGTGAGTGAGTGAGTGAGTGAGAGAGAGAGAGAGAGAGAGAGAGAGAGAGAGAGAGAGAGAGGTGTTATAAAAGAAAGACATGTCTTCAGTGAACAATTTGTTGAATTCTTTTGTTCTATTATCATGGCCTATTTTCTTGCCATAATCCTATAAAATGGAGACTGTCTTCCTCATTGTCATCATCCATTTACAGCTGAGAAAAATAAATTGCAGAAAGGTTAGCTGAGCTGTGCAAGGTCGTGTAGCTAGTGAGGAACAGATCCAAGATACCAGATACCCTGACCCACATCCATATGCGTCTCCAATATTGCTTTACAACTGCGCCTAAGCAGAAAACAGCTTGGGGGATAATGGTGTAGGGAAGAGAGAGTGACTGTCTTTACTTGCAGCTTCCCACTTTTAATAATATTTTAAGAAATCCATTGAAATAAGGAAATTCATCTCAACAGATATCAACTGCTATTTGACATGTAGCTAATACTCTTATAAGAGACATGGCAAATGAGCCATGTCTTTATTCTTTAAATCACCTGCTTTTAGAAACATGGCCTTTGTCTTCCTTTATAATCTGCACTGTTCTTCTAAAAGGGATTGAGGGTGATGACTCATGTCTTAATCTTCATCAGTGTCTACAGTGGGAATATATGCAAAATCTATTACTCTGATATGGGAAACTGTTTTTGTGCATTAAAAACTACTTGTTTCCTTTCAGATATCTTCAAGTACATCCCATCCTGATGCTCCTTCAAAACAGTGTCAAACATCAGCCTTGTTTCAGTTTGCAGAGGTATGGTCGCCTCCTCCTCCTTCCCCATTACCTCTCTCCTTCTCCCCTCCCCTTTGTTCTCTTCCTCCTCTTCCTCCTCTTCTTTAATACTTATTGGGCTCAGAAAACTTACTGAGCTTGGTAAGTGAAGTCTTAATAATGTATAGCGAACTTTAGGTGTGCCTCTTCCCATTCCTGACATAATATACATAGCTGAATACTGTTTTATGCTGTCTTTGCGGTAATTGTAGTCAGATTAGCTCCATATATTATACCCATTTTGTAACCATTCTTTAAGGAGTTCGTTCAGAATAAGCACTTTCTAGTAATTTCACCTCATTTTTGTCTTTTTTTTAATTTATTTTTAAAGCTTGGAAAAACTGCTGCCAACATGAACACCGTAGGATTCCAATTTATTAAATTTTCCTAATAGTGAATTATATGCTGTAATTCATGAATAACTGTCACAGCAATGCAGTGGTGAATCTGACCTGTGAAATCATCACTGATTACCTTTCACTGTGGTATAGCTTCAGCCAGTATTTTCATTAACCCCAGGCTTGTGTCCAGTCAGCTCTCACAGGATCTCGGATTTCTTTGGTTTGTCAGCCAGAGACAGAACACACAGTAGAGAGCTTTTTTTTTTTTTTTTTTTTTTGGTAGATATGATTAGGAGGCAAATCTGATAGGCTTGATATGGCCACAAGGATTTGGCTTCCTCTATAGGCATATTTCCAGTGAGCACTATATGACAAATCATAAAACGTATATAATTATTGAAAATAAGATGCTGTCTTCTTTAGGTCTTTCCCCCTTTTCCATTATATTAATTCCAGTAAAAAGCATATCATAAACTGTTCAGTCACACATGGGATTGAGAGAAAATGACAAACAGAACTTGTCTGTTTATTATTGGTAATTCGAATCACTTTGATTTGTTGAATAGAATGCTGTTTAAGTGAAATATAAAATGATATCCTTTTGACAGAAGAAAACCCGGCATCTTACTTTGAAAATGATAAAAATTACTTTTAGCCCTTAAGTTAAAAGCTGCTTCCTCGTGGGACATTTGTGTCAACCACTGTGACTTTATAGCACAGTTGGCCTGCTCATCCTTTCCGTCTCACTTTAGTTGAGGGTGATGCAATGAAAATGGTAAAACCAGTATCAAATGTTATCATTTCATTAAGAACAATTTGCTTGATGAATTTGAATAAATTAAGATTTTTATTATAACTTTTCATTAGGATAGTCTGTTTTTTTCTTAAATTTATCTTTAATCTTGATACCTGACTGAATCCCATCCAACTTTTTAGAAACACTTCCTCCAAAACAGAATGTATTTGCTACATATTGTGTTTGATTAAATTCTGCACTCCGGCATGAATTTTAGAAAGGCAGTAGCTCATCTTTGATACACCTGATATTTACACATTACCTACCAAGAGTATTCAACTTAACATGTAAGTGTGGGATATGTCAGCGGGTACTGGTGCATTTCTAACAGCCATCACCACTGAGAGTGTGATGGTTATTTGAGTGATTCCATCATTAGATTTATTAGGAGCTCCTGGAGCCCTGGGCAGCTCTGGAGGAGCAGTTTGATGGCGTAACAGCCTGAATCCTGCAACTCTGGAGGACTAGATTATGTGCCTCTCTGCAGCAAGTCAGTTTGTCCTTACTGCTCAATGTATGCGGTCCTCCAAGCACCAGGAGGTCCTCCCCACCAGGGGAGAAAAGAACCTCCTCTGACTTGGACGTCATGCAGAGACGTTTCCTTGAACAGAGGTCATCTTCCCAGTAGCACTTGCTCCTGAGGGCTTCATTTTCTTGGCCATGGGATATATAGAAGATTTGAGGAAGCTTAAAAAATAGGTTTTTTTGGGGTTTTTTTGAAACTTATTAGTTGTTGTTTCAAGACATCATGATGGAGGAAGGCAAGCATAATGGAAAAACAAAGTAAAATGTTTTGCCCTAAATCAAAAGCAATTTCCTCTCCCAACTCAGTATATTATTTTTCCTAGTTATATTTTGCCTAGGTTGATAATGTGAGCCTTTTAATTCCTAAGCAAGTTATAACATACCTTGTTATTGAGTAAATATTATATGTGATTATGTGAGAGAAGAACTTAATTCTCTCCAATATAAAACTTCTTTCTCACTTTCCTCTACTGACTCAGGAAACCCTAAGTAAGGTGCAATCTCTTAGCACCTTATGAGTTGATCTTTTTGTCAGCCTAATACTGTACTGGTTTATTTAAAACTAAACAAGACTTAACTAGGTGAACTAAAAAGTGATATGAGCATGTATATGCAGAAATAGAATAGGCTGTAATTACTTTGATCATATCCCTTAAGCTCTTATAATTACTTCATAAAACACACATCACCTTAGAGAAAACACAGACTCTAGTAATTCTTGTTTTAATTAGTCTTAGTAGAGGTTCTAAAACTTTAAATAACTCCAGAGTCACCCTCAAGTCATTTTCATCACAGATTGCTGAGCCCCTCCCCCAAAGTTTCTGACTTATTGAGTCTGGAGTAGGGCCTGAGAATTTGCATTTCCAAAAAGTTTACTATCAGGAAATAAGAGTTTGAGACCATTGCTCTATAATTTAAAAATTTCACCGAAAGCAGTTTATTCGTCATTATTAAGGTACTTCCTAGTGTTTCTGGGTCCTCACAGGGAAAGGATGAAGTGAGGAAGGGATGGTCGTGTAATAGAAAATTTTTCAATGGGCCACTTGATACCCCCATCCCTTTTCATAGGGATTCTCACTCACCTTATGTATACTTTTATTTAAAAAGTGGTTTTTAAAATAATTTAGGGATCAATTTACTGTTTTTAAAAATGTTTAGCTATAATATCATTTTAAGATCAGGCTTATAAAATTCTTAGAGACCATTCTTACTAATTTAATTTACAGATGTCAGTAACTCCAGGAAGAGATTAGCTAGATCTACTCTTGGCAATGAGTCATTTATTGTGCAATATCATTATCCTAGAAACACATCTTTTAAAAAAATTATAAGCCTTGGGTGTTTCTTTAAATTAAAAATGTTTTTTCTTTCATAATGAGTTTTAAGTCTCTGCCTTGCAAGGTGAGAAAGATATTTTTTCTTCTTAACCAAATCTGATAAGTTTTAATACTGAGGTTAACCGATATATACACCGAGCCATGAATCGGAGTGAAGAACATTTTTGCTTCTATGTTTAAATGAATGCTTACATTTAAAAGGAAAAAATATGTCTGCTCTATAAGATCTAGAAAGAAATAAGAGTACAGAACCTGTTTTCCCCTATGTCAATCTATCTCCCATTCCTTATTGACACTCACAATTCATCTAGATCAGTGGTCAGCAAACTTATTAGTCAACAGAGCCAAATATCAATAGTACAACGATTGATATTTCTTTTGAGAGCCGAAAACCGACTTCTGCGCATGGGCCATGAAGTTTCAATCACATTACTGCGCCCACATATGGTATTTTGTGGAAGAGCCACACCAAGGAGCCAAAGAGCTGCATGTGGCTCGAGAGCTGCAGTTTGCCGACCACTGACCCAGATTTAACCCACATGTGAAGAGCCATCACTGTTTCCAGGCCCCTATTCATTAAGTTGCTTAGAATGAGTTTCCTAGCTGCATCTTTCATTGTTTACAGGTAAAGTAACACATCTGTCACTTTTTAGATCTCATTTACTGAAGACTAATGTCCAAATGTAAAGCCAGAAGGGAGCTCTTGTCTTCCATTATTTAACAAATCTGAAAGCCATGACCATATTCTCTGCTATGTGGCTGATTCTTACACCTAGAGCATATCTTTGCATTGAAAAATTATGTATTTACTTGGAAGACAAAGAGCTTATCTGGATGATTTAGACAAATAGATTTGAATATTAAATTTAAAAGGTATTTTCTTTGCCAATATAAATGCACCAAGTTAAAGCCATTATCACAAGTGAATAAATGCAATAAGTGCAAATTTAAGGCATTTGTTTTCATGATGAAATGCTTAGTGTGTTATAGGATATTGCATTTGAAAAGTACTTCATGCATTCACACTGCAGTTAATCAGTGTGAGAATATTGCATGTTTTATTGGAAGCATTAATATTTCTTTAGGGTAAGGTAGACCAGTCATCTCACTTTGTTCATTCGTTCTTTGATTCAGTGATTTATTCAATTATTATTGGTAATTTTCTCACAGGGTACAATGTTTATGGTACCCCTTGTAATTGCAGAAGACTTCTACCATTACCTAATTGGCACTTCTTATCTTTATCACCTGTACTCCCATACCTCAGGCCAGCTATAAAATTAGCAGATTTACATCCAGGGTAAGCAATTGCTGTGCCTTATGTACTATTACACCTAATCTTTTTAAAGAAAAAATCAGCCGAAACCGGTTTGGCTCAATGGATAGAGCGTCGGCTTGGGGACTGAAAGGTCCCGGGTTCGATTTCGGTCAAGGGCATGTACCTTGGTTGCAGGCATATCCCCAGTAGGGGGTGTGCAAGAGGCAGCTGATCGATGACTCTCTCTCATCGATGTTTCTAACTCTCTATCTCTCTCCCTTCTCTCTGTACAAAATCAATAAAAATATATTTATTAATAAAAAAAAAGAAAAAGAAAAAATCAAAACATTATGTAATAACCAGAGGAGAGACTATAGTGGAGTTACAGATTGTCAAGCACCATCAATTCAAGGAAAATGAAAAGCAAAGCCAGGAACGTACTGTACAGTATGGCCCCTAGTGCCCTCTACGTAGGAGTGTAGCAACATGCCCTTCCACCAATGACCAGTTATTGAAACATTAAAAAACATATATTAACTATATTGTTTTTACTTGAAAGAATCTGTGTATCTTAAATAGAGGGGGGGAAGGGCAAAAAATTGAAGGATGAGGAGGGGAATGAAGTGGTGTAACATGTAACAAATGGTCATTGTACAAGCTCTGCTTATAATTGAAAACTTAGAGTAGATGAGATTACCAAGAGAATCATGTTTATGTAAAAAGAGAAGGGATCTTAAGACAAAACCCTGAGGGATCACTATAGAGGGGAGAGCCAGCAAAAGAGAACAACAGGAGTGGCCTGAGAGTAGGCGGAGAACAAGCACTTTGCAGTGATAGAAGCTCAGGGAGTTCTCCAGAGAAGGACCAGCCATGTGCATGCTGCAGAGAAACAGAAGGCTCCAGCCATGGACATTAACATATGTTTACTTTTTCGGTCCACATCCCAGTTAATAAGCCAAAGATATTTTTAGAACGCATATCTTAATATGTTTTTATTGATTTCAGGGAGAGAGAGAGAGAGAGAGAGAGAGAGAGAGAGAGAGAGAGAGAGAGAGAGAGAAAGAAAGAAAGAATGAATCATCAATGATGAGAGAGAATCATTGATCAGCTGCCTCCTGCATGTTCCATATTGGGGATCGAGCCTGCAACCCGGGCACATGCCCTGACAGGGAATCGAACCACGACCTCCTGGTTCATAGTTCATTGCTCAACGACTATGCTGGTGCCAGCCGGGCTGAAAGTTTTACTGTCACATAAATGTTGAACTAAAACACATTGATCTTTTTTATATGTGCCCCTGTGGAAATTGACTTTCCAACAACTTAGAGCATTTAAAATACTTCCCTATACCTACACAATTTTCCTCTCAGAGGCAATGAGGAAAATTGTTCTTGCGAAACACAGGTGATTCCTTTTGAAAGCCAAGGAACTTTTCTCAAGCCCTGACTCAGACAGCTGAGCATAAACTCAGCAGATAATACATCCATGCCCTCATTAGTTCTTCATTAAGCCTTGGTTGTGCCATTCACTGCTTTAGGCACAAGACATATGGTAGTGAACAAACACATACAATCAGAGAGCATAAACCTACAGCTACAAAAGCGACAGCAGAGGGAGCCAGTGTAAGAACTAGAAACAGTGTCATGGGCTATCAATGCTGCTCTCCCCAGCTTGTTATCGTTCAGCAGTTCTTGAGGGTATGTGACAGATGTAATATTTTGCAAATTATTAAATTTAACAATAATCCTCTGACATTGCAATTTTTTATTCTATTCCAATTTCAGTGTTTAACTAATTTTTGCAATTGTACTAAAGGAGTTTATATTTATTAGTGTTTATGAAAAGATCCTTATTACTAATATATGCATTACTTATTGAAAACATAATATGGGCTCAGCACTATTGCAAGCCCTTCACAAACATAAAACTTAATCTTCACAATAGTAATATACGGCAGGTATTATTTTTTCTATTTTGAAGATGAGGTAAATGAGGCTCAAAGTCTTAATTATTTGCTTAACTCCACACAGCAAAAAGTTAATGAAGGCACATCTGTCTGACAAAAAAGCCTTGTTCTTTCTATTATACAACCTTGGCTTAAGGGATGCATTCATGTTCAGTTCTTCCTTAAAGATACTGCATATCGGTGATTATATTAATGTGCTTGTTTCTGTTAGTCTAGTGATAAGTTGAGTAATTCAACTTCTCTAGAAAAAGTAAAAGTGGCATATATCAGAAAGTTAAGCTAAAGGAAATATTTTTCAAACCTCAGAAAAACTGAGCCTCATAAATTGATCTTCTAAAAAAAAAAATAAGTGATTAGGATGAATAAGAAAGGACTCTGAAAAAATGAAAGTATCTACGAAGAAAAAGTTCTTAAAACTTATCAAACTGGGCCCTTCTAAATAACCCAGGTAGCTTATTAAATAATTTGCCTCTACAAAGGCCTCTTATGCTTCAGGTCTTTTAGGGATAATTCCCTCCAGCAGCAAAGCACCTAGACTTTTCCCGCACCTGACAGCTCCATAGACTCTCCTGAGGGCAGGGCTAGGGTCACCTATGGCAGCATTGCCTCCTACGGGGAACTGAACAATATCTCTGTCTTAAACTGGGAAAGAATTCGGAAACACAAAGAACACAAAAAGCCAGCTAGCTGCTCTGATGATGACAGAACTTCTCCAGGGAAAGCATACTTTGTAAAGATGCTTACCATATGTCCTTCTGAGTTCTTTACTGAGTTAGAGTAGAAATGGAAAATGAAATTTTCATGGAAAAATGACAAAGGATGGTGTTCTTCATTGTTATCAGTGCCTGGCTACTGTTTAGTCAAAGTGGAAGGAGAGTATGCAGTCAGTGTAATATTGTATGAATATGTGTGTGCTACAACATAGGTCCTTAATTGTACAACTTATTTAGATTTGTGGTCTTGATTGTCAATCCTTGTGTGTACTTAGAACAAAGTCTCAAAGGAAGAGCCAATCTGTGTTATAAAAGGCTTGTGGCAATAACGCCGTAATGAATGGTCACCATGAGGTGCGTTGATGGGTCTCGAGGCACGGCAGAGTCTGGGGTCCTGGCAGCGCGACCGGTCTGGGATTTCGAGTGCTAAGCCTCTAGTGTTTTATATAAAATTCTTAGCTCCCCAGCTCCTACCATACTGCCTAGGAATTTATATTGATTCTCAAAAAAAAAAAAAAAAATTACTTGGTGTTCTTTTCTTAGAGCTCCCAAACATATTCCTTTGCACAATTAACTAGTCACTTTGGTAAATACAAATGGGCTGTAAATAGCTCTTTTATATATGACCAGTTAATGAGTTGATACTTCTATAGAAATGGAAATGTGTGTCTTCTTGTAAGGTTAGAATTAAATGTAAAGCCTGGAATATAAAAGATAATACTTTTGTCATTAAATAGCCACCATAGTCATGCCTGTTTTTTTTGTTTTGTTTTGTTACTGTTTTGGAGATTATTTACTAAAATTGGCTCGAAAATTATAATCCCAAACATGCACATTTAAAGTTATTTGGTATGTGGGAGCAATGATGTTCTCATAAATTAAGGAAACTTCCTGAATGTATGGATGGGTAGCAAGAATTCTGATATCACAATTAATATCCTTTATATGAATTGTTTTCAATATAGATTTCTTCAAACACTTCGCAGTTGGGTGGTGCCGAACCTGTAAGACGCTGTGGAAAGTCTGCACTCTTTCAACTAGCAGAGGCAAGTGTCTAAGAATATAACGAGATGAGCTATGCAGAGGTGGAAATCACAGAAATTAATCATGTTCCTTTAACTGCACTATTTCACCTTTGCCCATAAAGTGTGTTGTATCTAATTTTCAACAATGAGAAGGTTAACCTTACATTTAGGGGAAAAAGGCATCTTGCTAACTAAAAGTCATTAAGCATTGAAAAAGGTTACCCTGGGAAATTGCAAAATCCTTTTCACAATTAGTAAAATTTTAAAGTAAGGCCAGTTTTGTCTCAGATCAGATAAATAAGTCCAGCTTGAATTCAGAAGAATGGTCCAAGCCCCTTTCCTCTTTACTGATTCTCTTGTAACATCTGTAAATCCCTAGAATGCACTATTTTTAAACCAGGTGGTTGATGTTTTAATTTTTGTTGTTTTTAGAGAACTCAAATGACATGTTCTAAGTCAGGTTTTATAATTTCTGTCATTTGTACATCTGACCTGACATGGATTTAAAGTTCCTTTGGCAAAGTAGAAAATGTATGTTTATAAATCCTATGAGGTGGGTGATGGGCAGGGGAGGATGATGCCTGAAGTTTTTAGGGTGGGGAGGAGTAGTGACTTTGCCAAGCTGTGACTGCTCTGCCTTAAGGGAACCGTGGAAGAAATGTTTTCAGGACACTATAGTAATAGTTCTTTCTTCTGGTGAGACAAATTCGGAGGTAAAAAAAACAAAAAAACGGCTAACCAAAATCTCATATAAATTTTTTTACCCCTCTCATGTTTTTGACTCTCTACCCATGAGTTCCTTCTGAGGTGTTTTGTTGTTGTTTTTAGTGATACAGTTCTTTTATAAATCTTAAGTAGTTTGTTAATTTAATGGGATATCCTGTCATTTTCCAAATTTTATGGCAGCTTATATCATAAAAATTTAGAAGTTTTAAATGGTCCAATAGATTTTAAAATTTAAAAATTAAAATTTAAAAATTTAAAAATTAAGCTTTTAAAGTCTAGCCAGATCCAAATTAGAAATATAAATATACAAAGGTCTGAAGCAATAAAGAAGTATATAAACTATAGAATAAACCAATCTATTGTCTGACATTAAACTGACCAACTTCTGTATAAGATAAACTCAGACCCAAACAGAGATCTGTAAATGATTAGAAAACTTAACAAAGGCCACAGGAAATACTATATAATAAAAGGGTAATATGCAAATTCACTGAATGGCGGATTGCAGTGGCAGTGGCGGGAGCCTCTTCCACCTTCGCACCAGCACGAAGGATGTGCGACTGCTCCCCGCAAGCCTAATCAGGCAGTCGGACATCCCCTGAGGGCTCTGGACTGTGAAAGGGTGCAGGCCGGACCGAGTGCATGAATGTTGTACACCAGGCCTCTAGTAGTTTTAATAAAAGAGAAGGATCTCTTACTTTGAGATAGCATGGAGGGACCTGGAGAGTGTTATGATAAGTGAAATAAGCCAGTCAAAGAAAGACAAATATCACATTATCTCACTCATATGTGGAATCTAATGAACAAAATAAACTGATGAGCGGCGTGGAGATATGGAAGTATGGAACAGAGTGCGGAATCTAGGTGGGAAGGAGGAGGAGGAGGATGGGTGGGTGGGAATAGATCAGCCAAAGAACTTGTAAGCAAATAGGAGTAAACCATGGGCACAGACAATAGGATGGTGTAGGCCTGGGGCGGGGGGTGGAGATGGATTAAAAGAGGACAGTGGTAGAGAGAGGGGACATATTTAATACTTGCAACAATAAAGATTAAAAAAAAATAAAGAAACAAAGCAGAAGAACTGGGTGAGTCAGTAGCAAAGTACTATTGCAGGTAGAATTTTAATAATAAGGATCTGGTGCCCAATGTGCCTTTGGAGTTGGAGTTGTAAACAGGACTTCATAAACAGAGAGACTATGAGGCCATGAATTTGTCTAGTGTCTTTCAGACCATATGGATTGTTAAGACAATTTATTTGAAAGCAGTGATTATTACCCGGCTGATGTTGCTCAGTGTTGAGCTTCGATCCTTGAAGCAGAAGGTCACAATTCAATTCCCAGTCAGGGCACATACCAGATCCTGAGTAGGAGGCTTGCAGGAGGCAGCTGATCCATAATTCTCTCTTATTGATGTTTCTATCTCTCTCTCCCTTCCTATCTCTGAAATAAAAACAAAAAACAAAACCTGTTAAAAGAAAAGAAGTGATTATCGTGATTGAATATTAGGAATGTGTAGCCCTCTCTTCAGTTCCTAATTGTGCTGTTACACATATATACAAACACCTACATATGGTTTTTATTTCTATTTTTTAAATTTAAGTATAAAAAACCCACAAACATTAATTTGAAAAGATATATGCACCCCTAAGTTCATGGCAGAACTATTTACAATAGCCAAGAATGGGAGGCAGCCTCAATGTCTATCCATAGATGAATGGATCCATATAGTTCTTAAAATATTAAACATTAAATTGTTAAACACCTAACTTTTAGTATTAATATGTCTTTATTAAACAGTTTTGTGTTAGAAAAGTGTGAACCTTTGAGGAACTTTGCTGTGGGGCTGGGCATGCTAGAGAGATGAATTTTCTTTCTTTGGCATAAATCATTTAAAAAAAGGATTCCCTATTAAATCAGAGCTCATTAAAAAAGAACACTCTTCTAATTTGTAGGGATGCATCCCAAATATGAAACAGATGCTGTGGTCTAACAGATGTTTGAGTGCTGGGATCATAATTTAAAGGGGTAAAATGACTGCAGTAAACCTATTCCAATTATAGTAAATCAGCTTATACTCAGACTTAGTTTCTTATAACATCTGACTAAAAATACATGGATTTGATGAAACAGGGTCTCTAAAAAAATTTTACCAAGGAAATCTTCTAACATTATTTCTCCCACATGAATGTGATGCGATAATGCCAATAGACTGTGTTTTAGAATAACATCCTGAAGCTTCCCAGTTTCTAATTAATCATAAATATGTGCACAATTTATTAACCAGCATCTCCAAATAATCAACAATAAAAATAGGCTTCCTCAATTTATTTTATTCCATGTGTACCTGGTACTCATTTTTCTTGAACAAAACATAATATTTCATTATGTTGGGTGCCTCTTTAAATAAGTGTAACAGAATATTAAGGAGGATTTTTTTTCTTTTGACCAGAATTAGTGGTATTGTCTGAAATCTGAAGGAACATCTTTCAGTTATCCCATCCCACAGCGAAAGCCTACAAGAGGCCACCTCCAATCTGGGCCAGATCCTTCTATTGGGATTTATAAAGAGATACTAATTCTACTGTCTCATATACTTACTGTGCAGAGGTTTTTTCTCTCATCCCTGCCCTTAACCCAAGTCATTAGTAGTGGGGAGATATCATAGGCTATCCAATCATCTAGAATATTTTGGCTTTTCTCCCTGCCCATGAAAGTGAAGGCAGCTCTAAGAGAACCCATATTAAAGGTTGGGGGTGATACCTACAAAAAGTAGCAAGAAGCCAGACATGTTTTAGACATAGATGTACTGCTGCATCCTTAGTCTATCTGAGGAGTCAGAAAAAGAACTGGAGGAAGTTGGCAGCAGGGAGAGACTTGGAATGCCTGCTGCACTCCATTTTGGATTGTAGAGGTGTGTGAGTTTCCCAGGCGTCTGTCTAGTGGACACATAGGTAGTAGTCCAGACAAGAGGCCATGGGACAGTCATGGGGAGGGTTGGCAGAGGACTAGCCTGGCACAGTGGGGCAGGCTCCTACACCAGGAAATACTTTACTCAGGACACTCTGATGAGCTCCCATAAGCAGGAGTGATCTTCAGCAGTTTGCATCAGTATGGCTGTCCCGGTACTAAAATACTTGGTATTGTTAGTGTAAAGACTGTGACTTAAATCCTCTGAGTACCTTGCAGCAATGCTGCCAGCATCTCTGATCCTTTTTTTTTTTTTTTTTTTTTTTAAATATATCATTGATTTTGTACAGAGAGGAAGGGAGAGAGATAGAGAGTTAGAAACATCGATGAGAGAGAGTCATCAATCAGCTGCCTCTTGCACACCCCCTCCTGGGGATAGGCCTGTAACCAACGTACATGCCCTTGACCAGAATCGAACCCGGGACCCTTCAGTTCCCAAGCCAACGCTCTATCCATTGAGCCAAACCGGTCTTGGCAGCCAAACCAGTCTTGGCTCTGATCCTTTTAGCAACTAGAGGGCATGCGGGTCTGCAGGACTTCGTCCCACCCCTGAGACCACATTCCTTCTAACCAGTCAGAACCCCACCTATTAAATATTTTGCATATCATCCCTGTGCTTTGCATCCCCTGACACGGTCATTCAGTCTTATGTAGAGTTAGCAGGAACAGACAAAAAAAGAAAGACATACCCATGGGCAGTTAGTTTTACCTCCACCATTTCTTCTGTCCACTAAACCAGAATGTTTAGGCCTTATGAAGGAAGGACTAGGAACCAGCCAGCCCAAGAACTAACTGCTCACCCTTCGCCAATTCCATTCCTGTGGGCTGGCATGGGAGGAGGAATGAATGAGGAGAACTCCCTAAGATAGAAAGAAATGCTTGTAAGAAATGTCTTCTCTTTGGTGAGAAGTAAGAAGTATTATAGGAATATATTTATTGTGGGCCCTATACGCACTCAAGCAGCAGAAAGAAAATTGAAAAAGTTGGCAGCAGACACAGAGATACTTGGATCAGCCTACATTCTAGTGTTGGCATTATAAGGACCCCTATCTATTTCCCTGGACCCAAAGTTACGCTGGGGAAGGCCCTTTTTTGAGCATTTGATTGGCATTGTAAACTGTTAATAGCTAAAAGTGACCTGGATATTCTGGGATATGTTCCAGGTGTTTTTTAGGAATCTATGCCAACTGGGAAGAGAGATTTGCATAGTGCTGCTGAGATTAGGAAACGGAAAAAGATATAGTCCTTTATGTTTGAACCTCCATGAGGTCATACTCTACAATTAATCGGTTACTTAATTGGTGCAGGTCCTATAATGTATTGTGTTTC